TTAAAAGCGGTTTAAACTTCCCCCGTCTTCACCACGCGCTCCCGTCCGAGAATCGAAACTGCTCAGGCGGCCGCAAAGCATCTTGGGGCGGGCACATGTGCAGTTTGGATTTTTGGCCGGGAGACGAGCAGAGACGCAAGGTAAGTCTATGGACGTGTGCACCCGCATGCAGACACCGCTGGATCGGAAGCGCCTGCAAGCAGAGAGGAGTCAGCGCCGGATCGGAGAGCCGCAGCACCGCTAGAGGGACAGATGAAAACATCAAGAAAGAAGAGGAAAATCGAATTAAGAGACATAATTTAACTGCTTCCCGGCCGGCCGTTGTACATATACGGCCGGCCAGATATAAAGAGGACCTGTCACTTATTTTGCTATCACATAAGGGGGTTTCTTAGCCCCCCTATCTGATAGCAGAAAAGGTAAGTGTAAAAAAAAAAATAGGAAAAAAATTTAAAGTTTCCCCCCAAAATTTAAAGTTACACATAAAAAAGAATTAAAAAAAACTATTTTTTTAAAAAAGTTCCCACCCATAAATACACGCATGCAAACATGCGTCAGGGGCGCATGCCTGCGAAAACGACGATTGCGCCCATTACGCCGCACATGTTACATATCGCCGCGAACGTCGCAGTGAGAGCAATAATTCTAGGGCCATAAATCACTGATAACGTTAAACTGATGAGCTATAAAAGCTTCTAAATTATCGCCTATGGTCAATTTTGAGTATAGTAGTTTTTTGAGATTTCGCGGGTGCGCACAATTTTTAAGCATAACATGTTTGGTGTTTATTTACCCGACGTGACGCCATCTTTTATATTTTACCAAAATAATTGGGTAATAATAAATGTTTCCTAACATAATGTAAAAAAAACTTTTTTTTTCAAAATTTTCAGGAATTTTCCCAAAATATAGTAAAAAATGGTATAAACTTAATTTCAGTACAGCATTGCGTGACGGAATAAACGTCAGTCAAAGTACCGCAGCGCTGAATACTGAAAAATGGCCTGGCCAGGATGGGGGTCTAAACACCTGGTCAGCAAGTGGTTAAAGTGACATTAAACCCTCAGACTTTTTAACATAAAACAATACTGTAATGTGTGCCTTACTGTGATCCATGGTAGTTTCCCTTCTCTTTGCTGCTCTTCCTTTTAAATCTGTATCTGTTCTCATGCTCAGCAGAACTTCTGTTTTGTAGCAGACTGCCTTGTCTCTGGAATGGATACATGGTGTCTGTGTGTAGGTTTGCAACCTGAGCCAGCACTACAGGAAGAGGCACTCAGCTGCAAAGGGAAGTTCTCCCCAAGCATGAGAAGACATGAGGATTTAAAAGGAAGAGCAGCAAAGAGAAGGGAAACTACCATGGATCACAGTAAGGCACACATTACAGTATTGTTTTATGTTAAAAAGTCTGAGGGTTTAATGTCACTTTAAGGTAAGTGCTAACATTAACATTGGGGGAGGGAATTTTTTTTTTTTTTAACTTTAATGTCACTTTAATAAATGAATATTATAACCAAATGATGTTAGAGAGCATGTCTTGGCCCCTTAAAGGTTCAGATTTCTTTGATGTTGTGGAGTCTACAATTGTAAGGGGTGTGGTGCCACAATTGTTCCTTCTGTGATACCCAACAATGATATGTTGGCCGGGATGATGCATGTGCACAGGACCTTGCCAAGATTGTGCACTAAGCTAGGGATGCATGGCTCAGTGCACACAAATGCTGACAGGAAGAAGGAGCAATAATGACAGAAGACATATACAGAGATGAGAAAAAAGAAAATAGCACTGCGCTTCACAACTTCAAAAATTATATTCCTAAAATGTGAGAAAAATGTTATAAATTACAGTGATAAAACAATTTTGTGTTATCCACAACACCTAATTGGTACCCTTCAGGAGAAGCACCCGCCCAAGTTCCACGCCCCCCAGCTCAACAAGACCGAGCAACCACCTCGCTCAGTTCTCGGTGACGTCTCGGAACGCTCCTCCACCCGATTGGTTCCCTTCAGAAAAGGGACCCGCCCTAGTTCCACGCCCCCAAAGCCACCCAGAACCGAGCAACCACAACGCTCCAGTTCTCGGTGACGTCACGGAACGCTCCTCCCCTGATTGGTTTCCTTCAGAAGCGGGACCCGCCCGGTCTCCACGCCTCCGCCAGGCCCCTTTGTCCACTAGCTGGTGGGAACGTCACTGCCGCAGCTGGAGCGAGCGCTGAGTGTATCTCGCTCCCGCGCGAGATTAGAGCAGGCCGGGGTTAAGATGGCGGCGCCCGTGCTCAGAGTGTCTGTGCCGCGGTGGGAGAGCGGGGCCCGGTATGTGGTGTGCGTCCTCGGCATCGTCTTGTCCATCTATGCCTTCCACGTGGAAAGAGAGAAGGAGCGGGACCCCAGCTACCAGGCCATGTGCGACATCAGTGAGTGGGTGCGCTGCTCCGGCGTCCTCGCCTCCAGGTACCGGCTAGGGAGTTGGTGTACACCGGTTGACTGCACGCCTCGCCCAGCTTCCTTCTGCGTGTCCAGGGTGCAGTCCCGGCATGAGTCAGTGTGGGCTGTATCACATAGCTGTTATTGCCTGACACTCCAGGGAGTGACGTGGTTTGTCAGTCCTGCCAGTCACATTGATTTGGTTGTCTCCTGATAACCCCTAATCGTACAGAGTAAACTTGTGTGATTCGCTGAGTAAGGCTGGCTCTAGGGCCACGTCGTCAGTCTGGTGTCAGCTTGTGTCATGTTGATGGGATGACTTTTAGTCTGGGAACCCTTCCTGACCTCTGCCTTTATCAGTGGAATGAGGAACGAGCGATCTGATGGTGCCAGCCTGTCGCTTGTCATCAGTACATTGCACCAACATTCCACACAGCACATGTGTCATCCACTTGCTGCCAGCCTGACAAGCAGCCACACCTCCATAACCTGCTCACTTCACGTGCAATGAAAGAAGTCTTTCACAACTGCACCGTGCAAGGAGCTGATTCTTACATTTGTTTACCAAGCTGCTGCACCTGTCACCATAGACACTTCACCAGTTTACTTTTACCCCAGCCAAGCCTCAGACATCCCATACTTCTCATCTATCATGTTACTATATAATCAGAAGGGTTTTTTTATTTTTGCTGTCAGATGCTATGTGCAGTCATATCAATGACGGTGTCAATTAGATATCTTTAAGAAGAACTCCAAGAATACGTATAAATCCCTGGGCTACCCCTGCACTGCAAGGGTTAAAGGAGAACTATGAGGATTGATTTAGACTCATTCTCGTAGTTAGAGCTGACGTGTGACAATGAAACTGTCACAGGCTGGCTCTATTGATCGGGAAGTGAGCGAACACATACTGTAGCTCGCTCACTTCCCGATCATCTCACTGCAGAGAGCCGTGACTGCCAGTCACAAACAAAAAAAATGAGCATCCCATAGTTTGGTCCATAATCAGGGATTTCCCTTCTCCGACCCTCCAGTGCTGACTGGAGGAATGAATGGGCGAGGGGGTGGGCACAGCTGGCTCTGCCTCTAGATAGGCAGAGCCTGCTGTCAATCAGCTAGCTGGGTGGATCTCGACTGTTTTGTCTGGATCTCGACTGTTTTGTCTGGATCTGTCCCAGCTGTGGCGCTCTCAGTTTATAGCGAGCTGCAGCTTTGGGTCAACGTAGGACGTTAGTATATGTCCTGCCTTGACCCTTAAGAGAACTATGTTATAAAAAGGTTACCACCCCCAATAGTTCTCTTTTAAGTGCTCGTTTTTTGTCTAGGTGCTAAAATAACAAAATTATACTCACCCGAAGCTCTGAGGCGGTTAGTTGTCGCAGCACTCATTCCAGCCTGTCTCCTTCTACACAGCAGCATTGGAATCTTCCTTGGCATCCCCATGTCTATTCACTGTGTATAGAACATAATGATTTATGGGACCTTAGACCGCGACAGGCTTCGGGGACCAATCTAAGATCAGAACAAGCCGGCTCCAAGGTTCAGGTGAGTTTAACTTTTTTTTTTTTAAGCACCTAGACACAAAAAAGCAGTTAACCCTTGCAGTGTGGGGGTAGCTCCACTGCTAGTGTTAAAATTTTTCCAAAGAGTTCTTTAAAGCGGACCTTTACCCATATCTTTAAAATTAACAACAAACACACCTTTAGAAATGTTTAATGACAATGTGCAAACACATACTTCTAGATAATTGCTGGCTTTGTATTCTTTGCATATCTTATTTCTCTTTTCTTCCCCAGTCTCTTGGCAGTGCCTATGTTTACTAAGGGCAGATTACTAGATCTCCATTTACTTCCTGGATTTCTGCCACATGTGACTAGACCTGTGACTAGGACATGTGACCATGCACATCATCTGAGGGGAGGAAAATCCCAGTGTGCATTGCTTTGGCAAACTGAAGTCATTTTGCCTTTTCAAAGCAGGAAGTGAATGCTCTGCAAGTGTAAGTATTTCATAATCGCAGCATTTTACACCTGACATGTCTGTTATTAATCATCATACATAGAGGGATGCATTGGTAGACTTTGACTTGAGTGTAAAGATCCACTAAGAGTCCAATGTCTTTAATCATAACCATATACAGCAGGGGCGGCCAAACTGCGACCCTCCAGCTGTGGTGAAACTAAAAGTCTTATAACACATTTAACCAGGTGTAAACGGACGCTCGTCTGTTTAGATCCAGCTGCCAATAGACTAACATTGTGCAAGCGATCGGGTCCAACTGAAAAACTGATTGGACCACCCATGTGAAAAGGGCCTAAATGGTTTTTGGCTTGACATAAACCTTCATACTCTTTGTTGCATTTAATGTTTCATAAACATCAATTGGCACTATGTATTACTGGTAGTTTTGCACACAGTGCTTAAAGGGAACCTGTTGGTAACCTGGGAATTACTGAGGTTACTTTCAGTGTTGATCATATCAAAATAATCCATATCTGAAGAGAGAAAAAACTTTCATGAAAATCTCCAGAGAAAGTTGAGTGGTCCTATTCCCACTACATCCTTGAATCTTTATATTGGTTTTTTGATCTGTTGGGCAGCACCTTTTACCAGTACAGGACAGAATGGAACTGCCACTTTCACAGGAAAAGCAAGATCTGCATATGGAAAAGCTTTTATCTCCGTACCTGTTGATTGCTTTATGTGTTTTTTTTTTTTTTTTTTTTTTTTTTTTTTTTTTTTTACCTTTCCTTTGGCTAGTTTTCCACTTGTGTTTGGTTTGCATTGCCCATGTTTTGCGAGGTTTGTTAAGTAGAAGGAATGGGTGCAGAACCTTTCATATCTACAGTTTTTAGTGGTTTGTATACAGTTCTTCTTTTGGGTTCAGGGCTGGAAAGTAGCCTATTAAAATTGTTTAATCATTTTTAGTTGGGTAGATCTGAAATATTTCATATTTTATTTCCAGCCTGATGATGATGGAGCCCAAGGCTTATTTTAAGCCCCCCTCCCTTCCCTGACTGTCCATATAAAACATTGGCTGCACAGGCTTGTACACATGCCACAATGCTTAGCGTTGTGGCAAACTTTAAACAGCATGTCACGTTTGGCAGGTGGTGCCACTTGCCATTCATGGCAACTGCAGTCAATGGGTCATGCTGGAACATGGTGCCAGTTGGTTTACATAGTTGTGGCATGGTATTCCAGTGCAAAATCTCATTGGGATAAAAGTTAAAAAAAAAAGTGCATTCATTTATTATATTTTTTTTTTGGGCGGAAAATGTGGTGCATCTCTGGTTTCTCTCCTCCCTGCTGGGTGCTGCTCTGTGTCCTTTCTGATACAGAGCAGTGCCCAGCAGGGAGGAGAGACCTGTCAGCGGTGTCACAGGAGGCCAAGCTCCCCTCTCTTGCACTGCCCCACTCTGCCTCCTGTGACAGGCAGATCAGGATGGAGAGTTGTGCAGGGAGAAGACAGCTGTCAGCGCTGTCTCCTCCCAGCCCCGCCTGTTGTGACAGCGAGGCAGAATGGCTTACAAGCGTTCAGCTGATCGCTGAGTGTTTAGTGAATAATTGAAGACGTAGTATGTTTACTGTGTCCCCAATTATTAATGAATGGGGAGTGAGCTACAGCATTTCTGTTCATTGATTGTGGGCATAGTAACTCATACTATCTCCACAGTTTATGAATGGACAGGAATACTCAGTATAGAGGCTTCCTGTTCATTCCTGGCAGGGGCTGCAGAAAAAGAGGGGACGGGCTGTGTCAATTTTCAAAAGGGAAATATCAGAGATCTGTTTAAACGCCTGATTTTTTTTCCCCACAGTCCCTGACAGTAAAGTAAAAAAAAATGTAAAAGAACAAAAAATAATTTTAGGTTTTGGCCTGACAAATGTTTTTTCCGTTTTGGTGCACCTCTACTTATTTGTATAGAGATTGTAGTCCCATGACAGGAGTGAGCTTGGTGGGGTGCCTACCTTAAAACACACAGGGACCATGGAGAACAAAAGTAGCCACCCTCCAGAAGGAAGGACAGTGTCAGCACCAATTCAGAGATGATTTGAGGATCTACAGCCGAGTGATACACAATCGAGATACATTTTTGTTATTAGTTTAGGTACTTGAATGGTTTTTTAATTCCTTGAGTTTAGTGTCACTTTAATGAGTTTGTAGTCTGGTTACCTCTCCCTGTCTGTTCAGTTTAGATGGGGAAAGTCATTTTTATTTATATTCTTTCGAAGGCAAGACAGATATGAATTGGCTCCAAGTGTAGGTAATTTTCATTTTTGTATTCAAGAATACCTTTCCTGAAACATGCAAGATGCCATTGTGACTTTTCATTCTACAAGTGCTAGTTGCCTGTTTAGTCACAATACTTTTAGTGAGTAAGCCAGAACAGAATTGAAGATGAGAATTTCTGACTTGCAAAGTATTAAAGGAGAACTATGGGGTCAGTGTTTTTCCCCATAGTTCTCCTTAGGGTAACGGGAGGACACAAACTAGCGTCCTCCCGTTACCCTAAGCTCAGTATACCGCGAGCTACAGCTCGCGGTATACTGAGACGCCGCACCTGGAGCGGATCCCGACTTAGATGACGGGATCCACCCAGCTGCGTGAGTGACAGCTGGCTCTGCCTATCTAGAGGCAGAGCCAGCTGTACCCCGCCCCTCCCCCGTCCGTTCCGCCAGTCAGCACTGGCAGATCGGAGCGGGGAATCCAGCCCCTCCCCCTGTCACGGCAGAGAGCCGTGACAGGATCGAGAGGTGAGGGAACCCGGTAGGTGTTCCCTCATCTCCCGATCTACTGAGCCGACCTGTGACAGTCTCATTGTCACAGGTCGGCTTAGAACTATGAGGTGAGTGGAAATCACTCATCTCATAGTTCTCCTTTTAAAGCCAACGAGCAGCATTACAGACATGCAGCTGGCATTTTCACATGGTCAGCAGTGGAAGCCACCATGGTTTTTTTTTTTTGTTTTTTTTCTTCTCATTAAAGTTTTGCTTTTTATTGGATGTAGGATCAGGCGTTACCT